GAGGGATCCATGATGACGCCGGTCACCAGGGCCAGTTCAGGAGTTTAGACCTGGCTAGAAAGAGATTTCTCTGGTTGAACCTTGGGCGTGACGTGAGTGGCCATGTACGGGGATGCCAGCGCTGCGTAAGACCATCTAACCAGAGGGGTGTGCTCCTTTGCTCAGCGTGTCCTTGTCCAGACTGTTGGAGTTGGTCTGCATCAACCTTTGTTCGGCTGAGGCTTCACACAACAAGTCTGTGGACGTCTTGGTCATCACAGACCACTTCACTGGATGGGCGCAGGCCTTCCCATGCAAGGAGCAGTCGGCTAAACAGGTTGCAAGGCTTCTCTGGAACAGGTACTTCTGTGTGTTCGGCTTTCTGGAAAGCACAGCGACCAGGGTGCTAATTTTGAGAGTCAATCGATAAGTGAGCTCCTCAGAGTCTCTGGTGTGGGCTGCGTATGGGGAGGGAGATTTGAATGCCCCTGCTCTAGCTGTGTTGGTGCTGATGGTGACTGCTCACCCGATGCCATGGATGGGACAGCTGACCTGGAGGTTGTCTCTGAACCTTTGGACCCTGGAGAGAGGACAATTGCATGGGTGTCGCAGTTGACGGAGTCCAGCCGGTCTCAGGGAGATGTTACTGATGTTTCAAGCATGGATTCAGTCCTGCCAGCCGCATCGGGCTTGTCTGTTGAAGCGGACTTTGACCGAGCTGGTTCTAGCACGGCATCCCAAGAGGTCAATATTGCTACGAGCTGTGGGGAGGGTGTACAAGTATGCTCTACTACACCTGAGGTAGCGGTGGATATAGTTGCTCATGCCATTGCTCAGTCCCCAAAGGTTGACTATGGCCAAACCGGGGATGCTTCCCAGATCAGAACCAGACTTGGGCGACTTGTCAAACCAGTGAATAGACTGATCCAGATGTTTTCTTTATATGTCTACCTGAGTGATGGGGTTTGTACTTGCTGTTATGTACTCTGCATTTTTGTTGTTTTTTCCCTGTTGAGCCAGGGTACACACCTTGTAAGGGGTTATTGGTAGGGTGTATTTCAGGCACTCTGCTGCCAGTTGCTGGGTTGGGAGTTTAGCGCTGCTCCAATCCCACTTCATCCTTAGGGATACGTTTATAATGGATTGCATTTATATAGCGCTTTTCAATGCACCCAAAGCGCTTTACAATGCCACTATTCATTCACTCTCGCATTCACACACTGGTGGAGCGAGGCATCACAGACCACTTCACTGGAGTGCAGCAAGGCTGCCATATCGCACCATACCACCTACTGGTGGCCAACACCACTAGGCGGTAGGGTAAAGTGTCTTGCCCAAGGACACAACGACCAGGACAGAGAGCCCGGGGATCGAACCGGCGACCTTCCGGTTACAGATACGCTTCCCAACCCCCTGAGCCACGGTCG